CCCCATATCCGCCTCATATTTGGGTTGGATATGAGGGATGCCGGTCAGCCCGGTCGTCTGAGGCACCCGCCTCGGTCAAAATTTCACGAGCCGACAGTGAACTGGCGGCCCGTCTGGGCATATGAGGCGGATTTGAGGCGCCCGATTGCAGATGCTCATACTACTACTCAGCTAACGCACTTGTTGGTACTTGTTGATCCTGTTTCACTATCCGGCCATCTAGTAGTTGTCAGCAGCTAGCTGTTTTTTCTTTTGTTCGTACAGCAAGTTGATTTGAAACACATAGAACGTGGCGATGTCATAGTTGACAGGAAAAACGTCAGCCAACGAGGAGCGATGGCACGCATGTCTTTGGACACATTCATATCCGAGCATCAAACATACAACGCTGTCCGACACAAAAATTAGTTCAAAATATTCATCATAGAACTCCAAGGCTCAAAGTGCTCAACTAGAGACAAGCTAGTAATTAACATGAGCACGCAACATTTCGATGGCACGAGCGATGACACCAATTCTGCATGAGAATTCTGCAATGGGCATGTACATACATCTGCAAAGTATAGCTAAGACGAACTGAAAACCACAAACAACACCGCGCCTACGATCGATCCTGAAGACCTGAACTAGCAAGCTACTACAACGAACACCTTTAGCTTGGTTCTCTCTCTCACGCCTCGCCGAAGACGGCCTCCCAGACGTCCTCGAAGGCGGCGATGATTGCCGGGTGGTGCTCGGGCGAGTTGAGCGAGAGGTACGACTCCAGGAGCTCCTCCATCTTCCCCACGTTGGCGATACGGCGCTCCACGACCATCTCCACCATCGAGCTCCGGAAGTCTGCGTATGGGTTGCTCGATCGCTTCACCACCGCCATGCCCACGCCAATGGCTCCGATTTCTTCCACGACCATCTTCTTGATCGCATTCGCATCCTCCTCCCTTTTGCTGTTCTTGCAGTAGTTGTGCTTCGTCGCCAAGTTAACCCGCGGCTGGAAGGCATCGGGTGGGTCCCTGGCACTTGGCAACGCGCGCCGGGGCGCTCTGCGAAGCCCGTTCCTGTGGCTCTTCCTGGAGGCATTGCTACTGTTGGTGTGGTAAAACTCGCAGGTCGAGTCGGAGGAGAAGCTGAGGGACGAGAAGAGCGTCGTCGTCTCAGCATCCTCGCCGCTTTCGTCGTCGGTCGCCGTGGACGGAGAGCAGCTGTACGGCACGGAGTTCATCCGCGGCCGCCGCAGACGCCGACAAGAGGAGTATGAGCGATGCCGCCTTGACACCGACCTAGAGCGTGCACCCCTGCTCTTCTTTGCATCGTTTGTCTGCACCGATGGCGGCAGGAGAGGAACAATGGAGTGAACAGGACGGCGACCGGAGACCCCACCTGGGTAGTCGACGGAGGCGTGGACGACCGACGCGCTGCGGTGACGGTGGCGGCTTGAGCGGCTGCCTTCCACAAGGTTGGGCCTCTGATAGGTGCAGTGGGTGCATAAGTCAGGGGAATGTAGTGGCTCTTGGTGGGGGTTGGTGTTGGCCTTATCGAGGCTAACGAAGGCCGTGGCCGGGGTGGTTGTGGTCTTGGTGGCGTTGCTGATGCAAGAAGAACGCACAAGGAGCTGTGCGAGTTTCTGCTTCAGCCGGACTCCGGTGCCAACGCCGGTGCGGCGGTGGGGGCTTTCGTCCATGGACGGTGAGCGCAGTGTGTGTATGATTGATCTCGGGAGATGGAAATAAAGCAAGGTGGAGAAGAGAGAGGAGTGTCTGGTTTCCGGACACTGGTTTTTGGTTTATAGTCTCACCCGTGGCTTTGGGTGTGGAGTTTCAAGTGAGAGGGGTTAAGAATCCCCGTCAAAAAAAAGAGGGGTTAAGAACCTGAGGAAGCAAGTGGGCAGAATCTGGCGACATCGGCCATGTGGAAGGTGTACGGGACTGTGGGCACGGGCTCAACATTTGGTTGGCCGCCGACGGATGTAAACGTAAGCAAGTTTGTCACGGTCTCCATTCTAGTCGTGTGACTAATTTCTTTTTTCAGGTATCCAGAAACAAGAAACGAAGGGGGCCACGGGCGCTCTCAGAGCTTAGCGACTTTCGGCCGTCGGATAGAACTGCTTGATGCGTTTTTAGACGTTAGATCAAGCCGTTGGACAACCTGAATCGTCGGATCGAAGCCCTCTCCTGTAGCAATGAATAGTTATCCTTTTTCCCCGGCATCGTTCACTCCGTGGCTTCGACCGGATCCCGCTGACGTGTGGGGTCGCTCGCGTGTGGGCCCCATTTGTCAGTGACTGTGGCTGTGAGTGTGGCATGTGCGTCCCCGGCACGCGCACCGGTGGGTAAATATCCCGTGCCACTGCGGGCAATACTGTGCCCCCATCGAGGGTATTTTGGTCTTTTCGTGTCCAGGCCGTGTGCGTGGTGGACGGTGGTTGGCTCGTGCGGCTATGGGGTGGGGGAGGGCAGCGGCTTGCCCTTTCATGCTCCCATTCGCCCCCTTCGTCCCCTTCTCTCTGGATCTCCTCTTCTCTCGCCGATGAGGGACTCCTGGATTAGGGGGTATCCGGACAGCCGGACTATATACATTGTTCGGACTATTGAAGCGTGAAGACACAAGACTCAAGACTCCGTCCCGTGTCCGGATGGAACTCTCCTTGGCGTGGAAGGCAAGCTTGGTGATCCGGATGTTATATTTCCTTTCTTATAACTGACTCCATGTAAACCCTAGCCCTCTCCGGTGTCTATATAAACCGGAGAGGTTGGTCCTTAGAAGGCCGATCACAATTACAATCATACCATCATAGGCTAGCTTCTAGGGTTTAGCCTCTACGATCTCGTGGTAGATCTACTCTTGTACTACCCATATCATCAATATTAATCAAGCAGGAAGTAGGGTTTTACCTCCATCGAGAGGGCCCGAACCTGGGTAAACATTGTGTCCCTTGCTTCCTGTTACCATCAGCCTAGACGCACAGATCGGGAACCCCTACCATCAGCCAGTTTTGATACCGACATTGGTGCTTTTATTGAGAGTTCCTCTGTGTCGTCGCTACGAGGCTCGATGGCTCGTCTCGTTGTTAGGGACAGCGTTACCTCCGGGGGAGCTCTGGTTGTAGGCCAAATCTCCGACTAGGCGACTTTGTCATGGCCGCCCCATCGGCCGTCACGCCGATGATGGCCTCTCGGGTCATCACGCATAACCTTCGCATCAATCCGGAACTCGCCGAACAGATGGATCCGATAGAGCTCTCTTCTCTTAATGAGCTCTTGGATCACATCGCCGCTTTGGGAGTCGCTACGGACTATGACCGGATCGGGCTCAAACCCGACCGAAGGGACATTAAATCCCCGCCGGCCACCCACGAGATAGCGGTAGTGGAGGAACCACACAAGGATTATCCCTCTATTTTGAGGATGAATTATGTCCGGATCACCGAGCTCCCTGAGCCGGACACCCGCTCAAGGGAAGACATGACCCGGGTCCCGGACTTAGAATCAGGCATTGGGCCAGAGAAATTGGGCAGCCCCCTGGATCCCGAGCTGTCAAACTCGGAAACTCCCATGCCCCGGGGTGCTAGATCGGATCCGAATTCGGATTCAGCTATTCCTGCCCACACAGAATTAAACCGTCTCTCTCATATCAGGCAAGAGCCCCAGGAGACAGTACATCGTTACTGGGCCAGATTCCTCCTTGCTCTAAACAAGGTCAAGGACTGCCGCAAGGGGGACGTGGTCTCACTTTTCTGCAAAAACTGCACGAACAAAGGAGTCCTTAAGCTATAAGTCGCCGTGACATAGCACACTATGCGGACTTGGCAACCATAGTACAGAAGTATTGTGCGATGGAAAGCGTCTGGAAAACCCAAACCGAATTCTGGGATAGTCCGGCTCTCACCAAAACCTTTGTCCGAACTAAACGGACGAACTCTTGTAAGTCGGCCGATCCAGTCCCAAGAAACCAAAGCCCGCCCCAGGGCGGGGAACTATATTGGAAGGATAGCTCGATGGGCCATGTAGACTCCACAGCACTCCGGACACAACACCAACTCATAGCCTTAGGGCATGTTGGATACTCCGGCAGGTTGCAAAAAGTGGCGAGGACCTTCTTTCAAGCCATAAAGCAGAACAACATCCCACCAACAAACACAATACGGTACTAACAGTCTTCGAGACTCTTGCCTCAAACAATAGGCGCAAGCGAGCTCATCAAAGCTCTGCTGAAATTTGCCATGTGGCCAAAATAAACCCCTGGAATGACACTGCTATAACTTTCAATGCCAGTGACGAACCTCGATTCCAGACTGTCCGGGCACCGGCCGCTCTGGTCCTCAGCCCAATCATGGACAGCTTTCGGCTCATTAAAGTACTCATGGACGGCGGAAGTGGATTAAACTTGATCTATGAAGAAACACTCAACAAGATGGAAATTGACAAAAGCCGTATTAAACAGAGCGGCACAACCTTCAAGGAAATTATCCCTACTCGGGAAGCGTGGTGTGCGGGAAAAATCACACTCGATGTGGTATTCGGCACCCTAGAGAATTATAGGTCTGAAGAAATCACATTCCAAGTGGCTCCTTTTAGCAGCGGATACCACGCCCTTCTAGGGCGGGACGCGTTTACAAGCTTTCAGGTTGTACCCCATTACGGGTACATGAAGCTTAAAATGCCCGGACCCAATGGAATCATCACTCTAGCCAGTGATCCGGACGTCGCACTTCGCACCGAAAACAAAACCGCAGCACTAGCCCTGGAAGCATTATCCGAAGCCCTAGCAGCCGAAGAGTTAACAACACTGCGGGCCACCATGGACAGGGACGATGTGATACTCGACAAGCGACCCAAGTCCACCTCATTTAAACCCGCAGACGAGATAGTCAAATTCCAAGTCCATCCAACGGACCCCATGAAGACAGCTTCCATCGGGACACAGTTGAGCCCCGCGATGGACGCCGCACTACGAGATTTCTTACGCGAGAATTGGGACATTTTCGCCTGGAACCCATCGGACATGCCGGGCATCCCACGCAGATTGGCCGAACACAGCCTCAATATACTAAAAGGATACAAACCGGTCAAACAGACTCTAAGACGGTTTTCAGAGCCCAAAAGGCAAGCCATGGGGGAAGAGCTAGCCAGGCCGGATTCATTAGAGATATCAAGCATCCGGATTGGATGGCAAATCTAGTAATGGTACCAAAGAAGAACAAATCCTGGCGCCTGTGTGTCGACTTTAAAGACCTCAACAAGGCTTGCCCCAAGGATCCCTTTCCCCTCCCTCGCATCGATCAAATCATCGATGCCACAGCAGGACACGATTCGCTGTGTTTCCTCGATGCATACTCTGGATACCATCAAATAAAGATGGCAGAGTCCGACCAAGCTGCAACAACTTTCATAACGCCATATGGCCCTTTTTGCTTCAACACTATGTCTTTCGGGCTTAAGAACGCCGGAGCAACCTACCAACGCATGATTCAAACATGCCTGGAAAAGCAAATCGGCAAAATAGTGGAGGCATATGTGGATTACGTGGTCATAAAAACAAGACACGTCGATACCCTAATAGACGACTTGAGGCTTACATTCGACAACCTCCGAACATACGACATCAAGCTGAACCCGGAAAAATGCGTTTTCGGCGTCCCCTCGGGGAAACTACTTTGCTTCATTGTTTCCAATAGAGGAATTGAAGCGAATCCGGCAAAGATCCGAGCTCTGTCACAGTTGGCTATACCAACAGACCTCAAGCACATCCAGAAACTAGCCGGATGCGTGGCTGCTCTAAGCCGCTTTATCTCCAGGTTAGGAGAAAAGGCATTACCTCTTTACCGCCTTCTTCGGCGCACCGAACACTTCGTGTGGACGGATGCAGCCGCGGCCGGGCTGGATGAAATAAAGACCTTATTGGCCAGTAATCCAGTACTAACAGCGCCAGATATTGGCGAACCTATGCTGCTGTACATAGCTGCAACACATCAAGTTGTAAGCGCGGTGCTCGTCGTGGAACGAGGGGCTGACGGATACAAATTCCCGCTCCAGAAGCCGGTTTATTACGTATCCACGGTCCTAACCCCATGCAAATCCCGATACCCACACTATCAAAAAATAGCATACACGGTCTTCATGGCATCCCGAAAGCTACGACACTACTTTCAAGAGTGTTCGATTACGGTGGCCTCCGAAGTACCACTCAACGACATAATAAACAACCGCGACGCTACGGGCCGGATTGCCAAATGGGCCATCGAGATCCTCCCGACATAACATACAAACCACGGCGGGCCATTAAATCGCAAGTATTGGCTGACTTTGTCGCCGAATGGACAGAAGCCAAACTCCCTAAAGAGTACGGCACATACTCAAACTGGATCATGCACTTCGACGGCTCTAAAAGGCTGGCCGGATTGGGAGCAGGGGTAGTCCTGACGTCCCCCAGCGGAGACACGGTCCAGTACGTCCTCCAAATATTATACACAGACTCCAATGATGCAGCCGAATATGAGGCTCTGTTGCACGGTCTTCGGATGGCGGTCTCTATGGGCATTCAACGCCTAGAAGTGCGCGGGGATTCAAACCTCGCAATATCACAAATAAACGGAGACTTTGATGCCAAGGACCCGAAAATGGCGGCCTACCATAATGCCGTCCTCAAAATGTCAGCTCGGTTCGAGGGGCTCGAATTCCACCA